GCACTTTGGGAGGCCAAGACGGGTAGATCACCTGAGGTCAGGAATTTGAGACCAGCCTGGCCAACATGGTGAAACCTTGTCTCTCCTAAAAATACAAAAGTTAGCTGGGCATGGTGGCACACCTGTAATCCCAGCTACTTGGAAGGCTGAGGCAAGAGAATTGCTTGAACCCAGGAGGTGGAGGTTGCAATGAACTGAGATCGTGCCACTGCAGACTCCATCTCAAACAAAGAAAAAAAACACTGGCTTTATATAAATAAAATACAATATTACACACACTTGCACATACACAAATAAATGCATGCACACACACAATCCCATCCCCCACCTCTCGAAAATAACAAATCTCATCTTTGATTTGGAAGTACCTTTAGTCTAAATAGGAGATGTCCACCTCAGGAAGCAGTCACACTGCCCATGTTGCTTTGTTTTGCAGTTGCCGCCTTACTTGGAAGTTCTTCCTTTAGAGCTGTGACATCAAGAAAATCTACCTCTGATCATGCTAGGATTGCTGAATATTAAAATCAGACTTGAATATAACAAACATTTTTATGTCAGCTCCCCCCCACAGCCACACACACACACACACACACACACACACACACACACATTTTCATATATTCAACTATATACCTTCTTACTGAAGCAGTCTGTTTACATAAAATGAATTGAAACTTATGAAGCCAATCATCTGAGACGTGGAAATCAGAAAAGTGAGATTATAGAGAGCATTTTTGGGTTCTTTTTTTCATAGTTCCGTGATGTTTTGGATGGTAGAAAGCAAAAGGGAGAAGGTGCCAGGGAAGTATATGTGTGAACAAGTAAGTTTATGTTAGAGGCATAATTTTAAAGTATTGTTTGTGATCAGAGATGCTGTTGCTAATTGTATCACTTTCTATATTTCCCCAAGTGAACAAGTTTGCTTTGTTGTCTCTGGCCTTTTATGCAATGTAAAACGACTAGCAGTTTCTAGCCCTACACTAAAGCTTATTTGTATTTAAATTCATGATTCCAAACTTTAAATGTATAACATCATGTTAATTTTGTAACATCAATGCTTTTCTTAAACATTTCAATATATTTATATTATTACTTGTATTGCACAGTTCTCTTTAAGAAATCTTAGAGGGATAAGTGTCTTATCTCTTTTTTAAAAGATCAGCTTGGAATCTTCTACTTCAACCATATCTGTAGTAAAATATAGCATTGTTTCTAACTTTATTTGGCAATATAAAAATTGAGTATGTCTTGTGGTCTCCATTTATATAACCAGCATCGAGGAAAGAGTATTTGCTGGGTATACAGTGTGAGTATAGCTCTTACTTTGAGTACTTTAGAGATTATGTGATTTTAGTCCAGGAGACAACTTTATACTACTTCACTAGCAGAAACACTACTATTATTTTTACTGACCTATCAATACCACCAACTTAATAGTAATAAAAGCTAGTATACATAGAGTTCATTATGAAAGTATAAAATATATACAACTTTTATATTTCCAAATAAAAGTAGGTAATACTGTATTCTCTTGTAGATGTGTTTGAGGCAATTTCACACATATTTTTTTAAAACATACAGACACAATGTAAAAGAATTGTGGCGTATATATGTAATTGTGGAGTATGTATGTTCAAAGAACCTATCATATATTAACTCATGTAATACCCATAATTCTATGGCATAAGTACTACTTTTATATCTACATATAAGCAAGCTGAGACCCAGAGATGTTAAGTAACTTCCTAAGGTTTAGAGATGAATCTTCCTCTCCTATGTACCATGTTCCTTTTGCCTTTGCTTATTTTACAATGTGTGGTATGTAGCCAGTCGAGTGGCCATGCTAGGATTTCAAGCCCAGCAGTCTGGCTCCTGAGTCTATGCACTTCACAACAAAGCTGTACACTCTTCCATTTCATTTATTTATATTTCCATCCTTCATCACAGAATTTACTGGCAGTACCTTGCTTTAATAGTCAACATTTCAAAAAGGCTGTTTTTTGCAACTTTTCCACTAAAAAGTTCCTATTTTAGTAAAGTTTGGTAATTTCGTTTTAGAATGTTCTTGAATACATTTGTTCAAAGACCTGAAACTCATAGTTAACTTACCAAAAAGTAGTAAGTAATTGAACAGTTCTTCCTGGTATCACACTTGACTTTATATCACTCTCAAAAGTGAAACTCTTTCCCCAGTTATGAGTAGTTTTTCCTAGAACATTCAAACAGTAACAAGAAGTGTATCCACATTTGATTAAACTCATCTCCTTTGCCCCAGGATGTCAGAGGAAATTTTAAACATTGCTAATAATGATTATTCTGTTTAACAGTCAGAAGACACTTATCATTCTTTCACTTGTCAAAATAAGTGAGTTTAATGTGGTTTTATAAATTGAGTCTGTCATAAGTCTTCAAAATTGTAAGATTTAAGTCTTCCATTACTCTACATAGATTATCCCTTGCATTAGATTATATTACCAGGTAACTGCATCTAAACTCTAGAAGGAATTAGAATATAATCCTATAGGGTCTATCAGGAAACTGCTTTTGAATATATCTTGTTGATAATATACTAATGTCTTAAATTAGTTTTTTTAGCATTTTACATTTTATAGTTAAACTTTTTTAGGTTAAAAGAGTCTTGTGAAAGGTTGTGATCTGAATGCTCTGTTTATTGTTAGAGGACAGACAGTAAATACTGTCCTCTTAATTCATTTTGTCACCAATGAATTTTTTGGTCATATTTAATATATATTTAATGTATATCAGTAAACAGGCACACACAAGGCATACGATTTGCAAAGAATGGATGTGAGATTTTGATCACAAAGGTATTTTTACAAAGATTACCTCAAGATTTGTTAAGAGTTGTAAAATATGATTCCAAAAGACACATTTACCTTATAAAATAAGGCAAATGGAAAACTTCACCAGAGATATTTTCTTTAGAAGCAAATAATTCCAAATATGAATGTGCTTACATAGGTAGTAACTTTCGTTGTCATAAGCTTATTTACATTATTCCAACATCTAGGACTTTAACCAGTTTTTATGTTCAGCTAATTCTGAATGAATTTATTTCTGGCATAGTCCCTTTACTCCATTATAGGCAGAGCTCTGAACCAATTCCAGGATTTAATTCAGAACAGTTACATATTTAATGTATTATGTGAAAAGCTTTCTAGGATTGGGTTCAATATTGACAACACTCCTATTTCTAAGAATATTAGACATTTCTGTAATATCTATTTGTTTTGACATTGCTTTCTGTTTAACAAGGCAGTATTCCTCTTACAGTGTTGTGATAAATTCATATTTTTTGTAAAACGTGTTCTTCCTCCCAATTTTAAAATTATTTCTTGAAAACTATTATTTTTCATACCTATTTGCCTCTAGAAGCAATTGTTCATAATTGAGGCATATTTTCCTTTGTAGAAATTCACAACTGTGAAGATAGTTTCCCAGTGAGTTAATAAATGGGCATTCGTCACAATTCTCTAGGGTCAAAGACTGAGTTTGTTGTTCTTAGTGCTAATAGAACCAAATCACCTGCAATTGAGTATTTAACATGTTGGAAAACCAAACCAACTAAAGGTCTTTTTTTATAACGAGTAATTTGAAAGTGAAAGCTTCCTGAAGGATGCAGTCAAAATAAAACTCATGGGCAGCATTTCCTAAATCATGTAGCCTTATTCAGTGTCTGTTGAGCTGACAAATGTGAAGCCTTTTGCTATGTCCACCAATTTCTTCTGTTAACTGCCCTTGTTATACTTTCCTTATTAATCATCCTATTCATAAAAATCCCATGATTGGGGAAAACGAACCCGTTAAGGAATCACTGCTGTCAGTCTAATCTAAGCCACTATCAATAACTTTCTTACTGGTATCCCTGCTTCTACCTTGTCTTAACTATTATGTGTACCGTAAAGACATTGAAGCCAACCTGCCTGGGTTTAAATCCTAGCTCTGCAGTAGCTGTATCACCAGTTCCTTAAACAACTGGTATAAGAGCTATGAAATGCTAAATAAAGTCTTCACGCATATAGCAACTAGAGCAACCCTTATAAAATGTCAGATGCTAATCCCTTGGTTGACCTCCTCTAACTTCACATGTAAAAATTAATAAAATCCAAACTACTTCTCATTTTATGCCCCATGTTCCCGTTACACTGTACTCGTCCCCAGAGATACTAAGCAGTTCTAATTCAAGACTTTTGCACTTGCAATTCCTTCTTCCTGGAACACTTTTTCATAGATTTTTGCATTGCTCACTTCCTCAGGAAGCTGCTCAAATATTGAGAGTCCTTCTTCATCCAAGATAGCACACTCCCAGCACACATATCAATTCATTGGTCTCTTGCCTCATTTTTTTTCTTTTTTCTTTTGCCATAAAGCACTCATTGCCACTGACTTTATATGGTTTAGTGCCTTTCTTTCCAAACTGGAAACAAGGATTTTATTTATCGTGCTCTTAAGCACAAGGATTTTATTTTGGTCATTCCTATAGTCTCAGCACCTAGACCACCGTCTGGCACTGGTAGTTCTTAGTATTTGCTGAATAGATGCTGTATTTAAAAAGTTTTATTTCCCCCTTAGGACTATTGAGGACGTTAACTTACTATGCTTTTTTTGTTTGTTTTTCATAGTATGAACTTAATATTTCCTACTCCCATACTTAATCCCATACTTAATCTCATTAGGTCACCACGCACTTAAAAAGATAAACTTAACTTTGGGCATTTTGAAACAAAGAGTAGGTTCTTGTTTGCAAAGCGTAAACAAGCATAACAAAAAATGTTATTGTTTTCAAGGGGAAGTGTTAAATGCTATCAGTAAATTCTAGATGAAACAGCCATATTTTTCAAACATTCCATTTTTAATATATGTACCTATAAAGGTCTATGGAGATTTTACATTAGATCATGAATGGGTAGTACTTTATGATTAGAGAATATATATACACAGAGAGAATGAGTTACAATTTTTTCTTTTCTCTTTTACAGGTTAATGACTCCAGAGAGTAAGATCAGATTCGTCCACAAAGAGATGGGCATAATACCAAGCTGGGGTGGCACCACTCGGCTAGTTGAAATAATCGGAAGTAGACAAGCTCTCAAAGTGTTGAGTGGGGCCCTTAAACTGGATTCAAAAAACGCTCTAAACATAGGAATGGTTGAAGAGGTCTTGCAGTCTTCAGATGAAGCTAAATCTCTAGAAGAGGCACAAGAATGGCTGAGGCAATTTATCCAAGGGCCACCAGAAGTAATTAGAGCTTTGAAAAAATCTGTTTCTTCAGGCAGAGAGCTATATTTGGAGGAAGCATTACAGAATGAAAGAGATCTTTTAGGAACAGTTTGGGGTGGACCTGCAAATTTGGAGGCTATTGCTAAAAAAGGAAAATTTAATAAATAACTTGTTTTTCATGTGGATGTACTCCAAGTAAAGCCGCAGTGACTAATATGTAATAAATGATAAATATGAATATCAGAATTACTTCGAAGGCTACTATTAATATGCAGACATCTTTTGAATATCTTTACTGTGTAACCTGGAACATTTAGTTAAAATATACACTTTTGGCTTAAAACGTATTGCTGTCAATTTCAATAATAATTCTTAGCCTATAACCAAAGAGCAGTGTTTAAAAGGAAAAGCTTCTATACAAAACCTATTTCTGGTGTTACTTTTCATAAAATTTTTGTTCTGTCTTACCTGGAAATAATTTACCAAAATAATTGAATGAGTGTTGCTGTTAAAGAACAAAAGTGGGGAAGGATCAGGGAACAGGAAAATAAGAAAGGACATGATCAATTATTTTCTTCTGCTCCAAACAGCTGAAATAAAATTCAAAAGATGTACCTCACTACCCACTACAAATTTGGAACTTTATTTGATGTTTTCAATAATTAGTTTCCTATTTTAAATTATCTACTAGGCCAGTTATGGAGGCTAACACCTGTAGTCCCAGCACTTTGGGAAGCCAAGGTGGGCATATCACGAGGTCAAGAGTTCAAGACCAGCCTGACTAACATGGTGAAACCCCGTCTCTGCTAAAAATACAAAAATTAGCCAGGCATGGTGGCATACACCTGTAATCATAGCTACTCAGGAGGCTGAGGCAGGAAAATCAACTTGAATCCAGGAGGCGGAGGTTGCAGTGAGGTGAGATGATGCCACTGTACTCCAGCCTGGGTGACAGAACGAGATTCTGTCTCAAAATAAATAAATAAATAAATAAATAAATAAATAAATAAATATATGTATATATATAAACATAATATATAATGTGTGTGTGTGTATATATATATATATCTACTAAATAGTGGTAGCCATGACATGGAAAGTCAACTGATTCTACAAATTGCACATTCATTTGTGTGCCCTGGAATTTCCAACTAGTAATAAACAACTACTGTTGATGTAATTTTAAAATTGAAACCACTTAGATTCATGAAGCATCCTGCAACATAAATTTGCATTTTATATCAGATTTCTATTTTTTCCTGAAAAGCAACCTTTCTTCTTGTATAACTGTCTTTCAAAAGTAAATGTAATAAAAAGGTACAACATAAAATTTTTATGATCCCAGTAATACTTTCTTAAAAATGTGTAAGTCAATGAATTAAGTTCTAGTTCTGATGCATCACAAGAGGTAAAAAGTATTTGCTAATGTAACGTTCAATTCACATTGCATTTGCTTTATCATCAAGATCCTACTGTGGAGTTAGGAAAACACGGTAAGACATACTCATGTTACTTATTTTTCAGAGGTAAATTCTAGATTACTGTGTCAACCCAATACTTGGCCATAGATGTTGTAACTACCAATTAAAAGTGGATTTTGTGGTCTACAACATTTTGTGTAAAGTGAATTCATGTCTTCTAACACTGTAAGTCTGCCATTTAATCCAGACTGTTAGACTACTAATGAATATGATAAGGAAAACAAAAAATGTTAATGGTATCAGCTATTTGAGGAATTTAAGTCTCACAGTCTTTAGGTTTATTTCCCTACATATTTATTATACACATACTCCTTATAGATTCTGTTTAAATAATCTCTAAGAAAGAAAAATCAAACTTTTCTGAGCAGGTGATTAAGCTGAAAACAACCAATTCAGGCTACCACTTTGTCAAGTGATCTTTGGTCACAAATGTCAAAATATTTTCACACCTTTCCACACTCAAACAAGAGACAAATTGTTTTTGATAAACTCTAGTATTTATTAAATTATAAATTTTGTAATCAAAAAGAAAACTGCAGACCAAAAAAACCCTCAAATTATAAGACTAGACAGCAAAGCCTATGGGAACGCCATGAAGTGTGTTACAAAGATTCTGAAACATTAAGTTACTGGCTGTTTTCATCTCCATTTCAGTAACTTTACTATAAAATAGTTGTTATTCATCTATTTTAAAATCCCAAATTGACATATATTCTTACATTAAATTACGCTTCCTGCTTATGATATCAAACATCTCACAGGTGCCAAATTTTAGTAATGGTCTTATGCCAATCCATGCAGAAAAATAAGACAATGCAAGGGTCAGATGAGGACCATTAATGCACAGATAATACAAACACACTGGCCAAAAGAACTAAAGTTTTTAAAAACTATAAACAGACCTCAAGAAAACTAGGTTACTACTAAATGGCTCTCAACTATTAACACCCAAGTTCCTTACATTAAATAAATTTCTCAACAGAGACGTGTTAGACATTTTAATTACGGGTCTATCCTTCCCATACCCCTTCCCACCCCAACTCCCAAAATGCACTACTAGGGATGAGTATAATGTTATGTGGGCAGAAATTTACAGGTAACCCTTTCAACCTTGAGCATGGAGCTGAAGACATTTTTATTTAAACTTCAGTTACTGTGCACTGTCCATCAGGCCTTCTAGATCTGACACTGACACTCACTGTTCCACCCCCTGCTACTGATCGATCAGTTCCCGATCGATCTGATCGATCAGGTACCGTCTGGTTTGCATTAGAAACCAAAAGTCTCTGTTGGGTCAAGGAGTGCTGTGCAACAACCGCAGATATATCCTCACTATCACTACTGGCATCTGATTCAGTTTCTTCAATGGAGGTGTCTGGTGCTGGTACCCTGCCTGAAGATGGTGATTCATGATCTTCTTCTCCTTCTCCCCTATGACTCCTTTCAACTATGTTGTCTCCACTGAGTTGTAAATGAGCAAAAGAGTCTTCCAGAGAAGTGCTTGCATCAGGGGATGGTGTTGCAGGGCTTGTTAACTGACCGTCTACTGACGTTAGGGGCCTTACAGAAGACACTAGGGGCTGAACAGAAGCTCCACTCTGTGCCGATACACTGTCCGCTCCATCGGCAGAGCTCTCTCTTGCTAGGTTTACAGTATTAGCGTCACAGTCTAGCCTAAGTCCGGCCACTCCCTTCTTTGGTATATCTATTATATCTCGCTTAATCTTCCTGCGACGTCCATGTTCATTTCTCCTATATTGAACCATATTTTCAAGATCAGCGACATACAGAAACCCAGCAATTAACATTTCAGTGTTCTTTTTACCTTTGGAAAAAGCATCTTCCAGCTCTCTACTAGTGCGCTCATCGTACTGCCACCACCCATTTCTTCCTTCATAATACCATGCATATTCACCATTTCCTCTACTTGCTGCCTTGAGTTCTTCTGGTGACAACAAGGTTGGCTTGTCAAGGAAATCCTCGGGAATTTCTTGTCGACATAGAGCACATCGCTTTCCAAGCCATGAAGCTCCTTTTACACACAGATAGCAGAAAACGTGCTTACAGGGCAGACTGACTGGATGAACACATGTTTGCAGACAAATGGCACATTCAGGGACGGTTAAAGAAGGTGCAGCATTAGAACAGGACTCATTCGCTTTCCTGCTTGTAGGAAGCATGTTTATTGAATGATCAATTTCACCACAGCCAGCCATCCTAAGAAAAAATACATATAATATTAAAGTCATCTTTTAATTCTTGCAATATCTTAATTCAACAATTATGAAAATAAGTATGTATTAACAACCTATTATGTGCATTATATACAAGCCATATACTGGACAATGGGGATATGAAGACGAAAGTAGAGGAAAAACTCCCCAACCATTGAAAACTTTTTGCAAGCATTTACTTGTACGTATCTTGGGAATGTATAAAAATTTTGTCAGTGCACTTACAATCAGCCCTGGAGAAATACGCTGAAGAATTACATAATGAAAAGCTGCAACCAGCAAAGAGAAAAAGGATACCTTGAATCATGGCAGCTACTATACACTGAAATGAATGCTAGACAAGAAATCTAAAAATCTAAGTTTTGGAGTCCTTTATTAATTATGTGCCGTTAAGGCACTTGGTTAAACCCTTAGTCTAAATTTCCTTAAGTGCAAATCAGAGTTTACAAAGCTCAGGTAAAAACGGACCAAAAAAACCCACTTTGTAATCAATAAAGCTCCATAAAGGTCACAATCACATGAGACCAAGGGAGAAAATAACATGAATATTGAAGAAGCCCTGAAGAGGAGGAAGAAAAAAGATTTGTCAAATTGGATATATCCAACTTAAACACTGACATAAAATTTGTAATTTCTGCTTTACTAATTCAGATAAACATTTACTAAACACCTACCAGATACAATATTAAGTATTAGCTGGTCTAAAGATACATAAGACACACAACTACTCTATTAAATAAGGAAACATATACATGCAGATAATTACAATATGGCCTGATTCTTGCAGTAATCAAAATATGTTAACATACTTACTAAAACAGCAATAAGAGAGAGATGAGAGGATGGAGATAGGTTAGAAAGTTTAGTGTTCATTTGGGGGGCCTGGGTAGTGGAGTAGATTCCAGGCAGAGGCATGTGCCAGACAGAGTCAAATAGTCATACAAGCAATGGAAGAGCGGGAAATAAAGCTGTAAAGGTAACCAAAAGCCAAGTCATAAAAGCCTTATTGTGCCCTGCAAAGGAAACATTTGATTTTTTTCCCCATAGTTAAACAAAACAAAACAAAAACAGAAATTTTAAAAGGAGAGAAAATAATAGAGGGAGTAAACCACTGACAAGTAAAAGAGGCTGAGAAATGAAAATGAAGATGTCAGAGATTGGAAGCTTTAAATGAATGACAATCTCTGTGCCAGTTAATTCTGCCATTCTAAATAGGTCTAGTAGTTAAGTCAAAAAGAATGGTTATGCTCATCAAAAACTGAAAAACAATAATCCTAGGCTATCTTCACAGTACACCCAATCTTAAAATACTCCTTTTTTTTTTTTTCTTTTTACTGCCTTTTCTGTGTTCTTGGTTCCAAGACAGACAAAAAATAAGCCAAAAACCTTAAAAAGGTGGCACGTATCTAGTCAAGGAAGCAACATAATCTCAATGGAAGAACTGATCACTAAAATGCTTAATTTCCAAATTATTTTTCAACTTTTAATAGCATTTCCAATCAATTCCTTTACCAGAAATTCTAGGTTATAGGCAT